AAAGTTGGCAATGAATTATTGCTCTTCCGTGAGTGTCGGAACTCGGTTCATTTAACGCGGCCGTTGCACTTTTGATAGATTGACTGATTAAGAGTGTTTGCTCCTCCTCCTCCAACCTTGCATTTAACAACCACATCCATCCCATCCCATCTCATCCTGCTCTTCAAGGTCATTCTCCTTCTCTCCATGGAATCCTTCGCAACAATCACCACCATGAAAGCTTCTTCTCGTTCTTCTTTTCCATCTTCTCCTCTTTTCTCCTCCCAAAACTCAAACTCTGATCCCAACAATCCCAAGTCACTCCCTTTCAGGCTCCAGGCGACTCAAAAGCCCTTCTTCAAATCAATCAAATGCATCCAATCCCCATCTCCCGAATCCATCCCCTCCAAACCCACTTCTTTTTCTTGCACTGCCGTTACTTTCTCCCCCTCAGACATCGCTGACTTTCCTTCACGCACCCTTACCGGTCTCATCTCCGAGTTTAAGTCCCTTCCCCAACCCCTCGACCGCGTTAAACGCCTCCTTCACTATGCCTCCCTCCTCCCTCCCCTGCCTGAATCCTCCCGTACTGACTCCAATCGCGTTATGGGTTGCACCGCCCGAGTCTGGCTCGACGTCCAAAGGGATGATGATGGAAAGGTGAGATTTTGGGCTGATAGTGATTCGGAGATCACAAAAGGCTTTTGTGCTTGTTTGGTTTCCGTGCTGGACGGTGTAGCGCCGGATCAGGTGCTGGGATTGAAGACCGACGACTTGGCGGCTTTGAACGTTGGTTTGCCGGGAGGGCAAAGGTCGCGTGCGAATACGTGGCATAATGTCTTGGTAAGCATGCAGAAGAGGACTAGGGCGTTGGTGGCGGAGCAGGAGGGGAAGGCGCCATTCGATCCTTTTCCATCATTGATAGTGACAGCGGAGGGAATTGAAGCTAAAGGAAGCTATGCGGCGGCTCAGGTTTGTGTTATTCTAAATTGTGTACACGACCATGTTAGTTTTGTTAAGGGTTAATTGTGCTGTGGGGACTTGCAATGGAGTCCCAAATCCAAGTAGGAAATGGAAAATCCAAAGGAATTGACTGCCAATAGAGATGATGTTGATGGTGATTTGTGCTTGCTTCAGGGTATGGAGGTGCATAGAAATGGGTTCCTTTGCATGTGGGTGTATTTTGAAACCATATTTTATGTTGGAAGTTCTAAAAGTTTTGTTACAATCTATGAATTTGGAAAGAAAACTTCTGAAGAACCAAACTCTTAGGAGAAGAATTTGTTTCTTCTGAGTTTGTCTTGAAGGGGATTAATTTAAAGTCTAATGTCTCTAAGCCTGATAACAATGTGCCAATAGAATTAGAAGATAAGAAACTTCAAATGCACATCATAGAGGACAACTTGAAGCTATCATCTGTTAATCTTTGCTGATATATTATAATGTTATCTGTTATGTTTTATCCAGTACCATTTAAAGATCCATAATTCCATTATAGTTCTGATTAAAAATAATAATAATAATTCTATTCTTGTCTAATTACAGGCAAAATATTTGTTCCCAGATGAGTCCAGAGTTAACGAACTAGTCAATGTGCTAAAGGAGAAGAAAATCGGTGTGGTGGCTCACTTTTACATGGACCCTGAAGTGCAAGGTGTCTTAACTGCTGCCCAGAAGCATTGGCCTCATATTCATATATCTGATTCGTTGGTCATGGCAGATACAGCTGTTAAGATGGCAAAAGCTGGATGTAAATTTATTACAGTTCTAGGTGTAGATTTTATGTCAGAAAATGTGCGCGCAATCCTTGATCAAGCTGGCTTTGGGGAGGTACATTATTCCTCTTCTTATGCCTTTTTTGTCATTAAGTCTAGCATTTAAAAGGGAAAAGAGTGAAAACTTAAAAGAAAAAAAAAAAAACAAAAAAAGGAAAAAAGTGTGAAGAATTTTACAAGGAGAAAGTATCTGATTGAGAGATTATGGGTTCATTGATGCTTGTCCGTTTAAGAGATTATGGTTCACTGGCATTTAGGGGGTGTTGAGGGGTGGGTGGGGCAATGAGAAAAAGGGTTTCTTGTGAGATATTGTTAAAGCCTGAGTCACAAGGACTTTATCTTTCTGGTTGAATGCAATATACAAATGCTGGAAGGATTTTTTTTTTGAATCATGGTACAACTCTATGTTTCCAATTTTCACATGGGTTGCATTAGAACCTAGTGCAATCTGCTGTTGGTGCCAGATACTTTTTCTTTTTTTGATTCTGGTACAAGATACCAGTAACTAATTTTTCCCCCTTTTTTTTTTCTTTTTTATTTACATTTAATTGCAGGTTGGTGTGTACAGAATGTCTAATGAACGCATTGGTTGTTCTTTGGCAGATGCAGCTGCAACTCCTTCTTACATGAAGTATCTTGATGCAGCCTTTAGCTCCCCTCCATCATTGCATGTTATTTACATCAATACCTCGCTGGAGACAAAAGCCTATTCTCATGAGCTTGTACCTACCATCACATGCACTTCTTCTAATGTTGTGCAAACCATTTTGCAGGTGGGTAGTATTGCAAGCTTTTCCTTTTCTCATTTCCTTTGACCACCAGTGTTGTTAATGTCATATTATAGTTTGAGTTTATTTCCCCTCTTTTCATAGGCTTTTGCACAAATTCCAGACTTGAACCTATGGTATGGGCCCGATTCCTATATGGGTGCAAACATAGCAGAGTTGTTCCAGCAGATGACTTTGATGTCTGATGAAGAAATCTCTGAGATACACCCATCACATAATAGGGAATCAATTAAATCACTGCTACCTCGTCTACACTATTATCAGGTATTTCTGCACTGGAATGGTTGGTGGGGGAGGCTCTTGGAGAGCCTAGTTGTGCTTGATGATATTTGAAGTGTTATTCTATTTTAGGGTTGGTTGATACTTTCATTTCCTTTTTTCAGTTTTCCTTTCCAAAAGAATGAATACCAGTGAACACATATACTTTGTTCTTGATCTTAAAAAATTGAAAAATGACAAGTAGTTTCCACAACTTTTCGAAACCAAAAGATGTGTCATTTTGTTGTGGAGACCAGTAGCCAGTTCTCGCTTTTGGTTTTTCTTTTCAGAGTTTTGGCAGCGATAGCAAATAGCACCTTAACTTCCACTCAGTGAATTATTTTCTCTTGGATACACCATGTTTTCTATTTCTTATTCAATTCAACCAACATTAACTCTTTTTTTAGGCCAATAACAAACATTATTAACTAAAGCAGATATATTTGTTCTTTTGTTGCATTACACCTTATATACATAGCATCACATGTCAAGTCCAAGCAATTTCAAAACCATACTTTTGCTGAATTTGGTATTAAAGCTGCTTGGCTCTTTTATTGCTGACTTAATGACAATTTGGTTTCAGGATGGAACTTGTATTGTACATCACCTTTTTGGACATGAAGTTGTTGAAAAGATAAATGAAATGTATTGCGATGCATTTCTAACAGCACATTTTGAGGTCCCTGGTGAAATGTTTTCTCTGGCAATGGAAGCAAAGCGAAGAGGAATGGGTGTTGTTGGCTCCACTCAGAACATTCTAGATTTCATAAAAAACAGGGTTCAAGAGGCAGTAGATAGAAATTTTGATGAACATCTCCGATTTGTGTTGGGTACAGAATCAGGAATGGTGACCTCAATTGTTGCTGCAATCCGCCATTTGTTACAGTCTACAAAATCTTCTTCTGGCAAAAAAATAAACATTGAAATTGTGTTTCCAGTCTCCTCAGACTCATTGACAAAAACATCTACAAGCTCCTCCTCAGCCTTTAAATCAGTTAAAATGGGTGACATTATACTCCCTGTTATACCTGGAGTTGCTGGTGGGGAGGGATGTTCTATTCACGGTGGCTGTGCATCCTGTCCATACATGAAGGTTTGCTTGTTTCTGCATTTTATGTATCTTAGTACGTTAGTTATTAGTTTCAGTGCTTTGATTATAATGTCAACAATGAATCTATACTGCATGCATGTTTTCTTAAATTGCTGAAGTAATTGTTTCATTTTAAAGCTGGTCAATATAGAAAAAGCATAAGGTAAATGAAACTGAGTTGGATTTAGAGTTACCATTTACAAGCATTTATAATATAGGTGGTGATTATACTTGACAAGTAATGAAATTATGATTTCTGAATTTAGATTTTACTTTGTTTTCCTGATACAAGCATTTATGGGTGACATTAACCTCTTTGGTTGTTTCTGACTTTGGTATCAGTTTAGTTCCATGAGGCTTGTGCATTACCTAATTCATTTTTCTTTGTGCTTGAAATTTCGCTTGCATGGACTTGAGTTTCTGATTTTTATTTCACTCTGATCTTCCAGATGAATTCTCTTAGTTCTCTCTTGAAAGTCTGTCACAACCTGCCTGACAAGAAAGATGTACTAAGGGCATATGAAGCAGAGCGATTCAAGTCGCAAACCTCCCAAGGAAAATCAATAGCAGAAGTTGGGTGTGAGCCTATATTGCATATGAGACACTTCCAGGTTAACATTTCTGGAACCTGAATTATCCTTTACGCTAGAACATTTGTAGTAATAATTACCTTTAAATCTTAATTTGCAGGGTAAGAAAGAGCTCCCAGAGAAGCTTGTCCATCAGGTCCTTCATTCTCAGGGCAAGGGAAGATAAATGACATAAAAGTTGAGCAAACCGGCAGACTTCCACCGTCCCACAAATGCTAGTTGGTCTTTATTGGAGGCATTTTTCTGGAATCCAATTTCACAGCGGTATTTTCTAATACTACTTCAGTTATTCGCAGCTTGTTCTAGCTTCACATCCTTCCACTTTATATTTTAAAGGATAGGTCAGTGTTTTACAGAAAAGGCAACGAAATTTTAAGTTATGATTATATTTACTGAAGCTGTGTATATACCATTGAGTCCCCAAACCCGCTATCCCACTTTGTTGTACCCGGATCTGAGCTCTAAGTTTGTTGCTTGAGCATCAGGGTTTCTTGCCAAGAGATTAGCATAATCCAAATGGTGGCTTAGGGATGCGACACTCTCGAGTTGAATTTGTGGAGGGAATCTGAGTCTAGTGTTTTTTTAACCTTAATATGATTGGATTCAGAGAAGGAGGAGGTTGTTTTAATCAATCAAAATTATAATATTTTAAAAACATTAAATTTAATTTGTTAATTATTTTATTTTATTTTTCACAAACTAAAATTACTGTAAATTGTTATTGGCACAACTTTTTGGAGTTGTTACAATTATAACCGCTAAACAAATTACTGTTATTTAATAAACAAATTATTTTTCTTAAAATATAAAACTCAATAAGTCTAGAAATTAAAAAAGAAAATGTAGAAATGGAAGACTCCGCCCAAATGGTTGCTTCGAACGCATCTGTCGCCATCTTCTTCTCGTGTTGGGAAGCGGGTCCGAGCGTCGTCCTGTTGCGGCAACTTTTCATCGGTTGAAATTTAACTAATTAGCTTAAGCGTTTGAGTAAAACAGTTTGTGCTTAATGTTATGTTTAAGGCTTCCTCACAAATATGATTTGCAAACAGCTTATTGAACTCCGTTTTGGGGAATTCAACCGCGAAGGAAATCTGAAGGGAATAGTCGAATATATGGTTTCAGTTTCTTTCTTCTTTTTATCTAACAAAATATAGACAGTTTCGAGTTTGTATTTTTATTATTATTGTTAATTTGGAAAGCTGAGTTCTAGATGGGTGAAGGTATCGTAAACATTTTTTTTTTTCCTTATAACTCTGAAGACTTATCCAAAGGATCTGATTCACTTTAGAACAGAGATGGCAACGGGGTGATAAGGGTGCACCAAAGAGCGCTCTTTTATATTGGTTTATTGTATTTAAGAAAATTAATATTTTATCTTTTATTTTTATTTAAAAAAATGTTTTGTAGATTGTACCCTCAAATTTTGTTTAGAAAAGTTATTTAAAATTTTATTTTTTAATTAATATTTTAAAAAATTAATCATTAAATTAAAAAATTTATTTATATATGTTATGAATATCAATTATTTTTAAATTGATCTAGAAGGCCTAACTAGTTCACTAATGGTACAAAATTAACAAAATTAAATATATGTTAATAAATAGAATTTTATTAAAATTTTATAAAATTTAAATTAATATAAAAGTGTTTTGTAGATTGTACCCTCAAATTTTGTTTAGAA